TCACTTGGTAGCCCAGGCTGGCCTCGAACTCACAGAGATCCGCCTGGCTCTGCCTCCCGAGTGCTGGGATTAAAGGCGTGCGCCACCAACGCCCGGCTATTTTTAGCCTGTTTTATATAGGAAATATCTTATCTTCTTCATGGCTGTATATTCAACACCAAACAGTGCTTTATTATAAGAGCATTTTGGGGAGATTCAATGAAGGATGAGAGAAAAGATTCATTTTTTTAAATACTTAAATGGATTCTATTTACCATATATGTATTGGGAACCTGGGTGTTAATGGATAAGTAAAATCGGATGGTTGTGGTTCAGTAAAAATCATTACGTGTCAATCCATATCAGAAGGCTGGGTATATTACAAAATATTAAAAATATGCATTGGCTAAAGAATCAAAATTAAGACCACTTTAGAAACCCTTTAAGAGTATTTTAAGAGACGAAATATGTAGGGGTTAGTAACACTTCTCTCGTGTACCACCTACTAGCTACCAGTCTTTTAAGGAAATAAAATTTTAAGTGCAGCTAAAATTTAGTTTGGGCCCAAATCCATATCCTAACAAGCTAACTAGGCTTTCGGTGTCATTGTTTTGTACCCTTCGCGTTTTGCATCCACTGGGAGTGCATTTTTCTTAACGGTTCTCTGTGGTTGAAATGTCAAAGAAATGAAATAGGGCTTTCTCATGTTACATCCCCAGGAAAAGGAGACTGCAAAGCCCATTCTGCGATGTGTGCGAGGCCTACAAGGTGCACACCCTGCAACTGCTTCACGGTCCAATTTGATCTCTGGGTTTTTGCACAGCTCCTCTTTTTGGATGATGTAAACCGCGCAGGAGCATTACGTATAGTACTCCCACCTTGGAGAAGGATGCGAGAACAAGCACCCTGGACTGCCAATTTCTCTTAAACCTGCAGCCGTGGGCTACAGGCCCGGATACCCGCCCCCAAACTGGGTCCACAACAATCGTTTCCTCCCTCCCCGCCTTTTACATACAGTACACATACAAATACACACACGCAGAGCAGCCAGCAGGGGCGGGCCGGGCGCGACCACCGTGCCTGCTGCGGGGGGGGAGGAGGCGGGCAGCTCGGGCGCGGGCGTCGCCCCGAGGCCCTCCCCTTCACGCGGGTCCCGCCGCACCTGCTTTCTATTCCCTGGAAGAAGGGACACCTGTGGGGCCCGCGGGTCTCCAAGAGCTCCGCTTGCGGGCCACGGGCCTCTCCGGTCGGCGCGCCACCCCCACCTGGGCGAGCAGTTGGTACGGCCCAGCGCTAGCGGGCGCCGAGCGGGAGCCGCGCGGGAGCGGC